GTTTTGGGGCATTTTGGGGACTTTTGGGATTTTTGGGGATTTTTTGGGATTTTTTTGGGATTTTTTTGGGATTTTTTTTGATTTTTTTTTGATTTTTTTAGGGTTTTTTTTTATTTTTTATGATTTTTTTAGTATTTTTTATGATGTTTTTAGGACTTTTAGGATTTTTTTGGACCAAATGTGAGAGGTTTTGGGGCATTTTGGGGACTTTTGGGGACTTTTGGGGACTTTTAGGATTTTTTGGGATTTTTTGGGATTTTTTGGGATTTTTTTTTGGATTTTTTTTGGATTTTTTTTTGATTTTTTTAGGGATTTTTTAGGGTTTCTTTGGATTTTTTTAGGGTTTTTTTTGATTTTTGATGATTTTTTTAGGATTTTTAGGATTTTTTTAGGAGCAAATGGGAGAGGTTTGGAGCATTTTGGGGATTTTTGGGGAATTTTGGGGATTTTGGGGATTTTTTTGGGAATTTTTTAGGGGTTTTTTTGGATTTTTTTTTTATTTTTAGGGTTTTTTTTTTTTATTTTTTAGGATTTTTTTAGGAGCAAATGTGAGAGGTTTTGGGGCATTTTGGGGGATTTTGGGGATTTTTTGGGATTTTTTTGGGATTTTTTTGGGATTTTTTTAGGGTTTTTTTTTTATTTTTTATGATTTTTTTAGTATTTTTTATAATGTTTTTAGGATTTTTAGGATTTTTTTAGGAGCAAATGTGAGAGCTTTGGGGCATTTTGGGGACTTTTGGGGATTTTTGGGAATTTGGGATTTTTTTGGAATTTTTTTGGGATTTTTTTGGGATTTTTTTAGGGGTCTTTTTTTTAATTTTTAAGATTTTTTTAGTATTTTTTATGATGTTTTTAGGACATTTAGGATTTTTTTGGACCAAATGTGAGAGGTTTTGGGGCATTTTGGGGACTTTTGGGGACTTTTGGGGACTTTTAGGATTTTTTGGGATTTTTTGGGATTTTTTTTGGTTTTTTTTTGTATTTTTTTTGGATTTTTTTAGGGATTTTTTAGGGTTTTTTTGGATTTTTTTAGGGGTTTTTTTGATTTTTGATGATTTTTTTAGGATTTTTAGGATTTTTTTAGGAGCAAATGGGAGAGGTTTGGAGCATTTTGGGGATTTTTGGGGAATTTTGGGGATTTTGGGGATTTTTTTGGGAATTTTTTAGGGGTTTTTTTGGATTTTTTTTTTATTTTTAGGGTTTTTTTTTTGATTTTTTAGGATTTTTTTAGGAGCAAATGTGAGAGCTTTTGGGGCATTTTGGGGACTTTTGGGGATTTTTAGGATTTTTTTTGGGATTTTTTGGGATTTTTTGGGGATTTTTTGGGGATTTTTTGGGGATTTTTTTGGGGTTTTTTTGGATTTTTTTAGGGTTTTTTTAGGGTTTTTTTTTTATTTTTTTAGGGTTTTTTTATTTTTTATGATTCTTTCAGGAGCAAATGTGAGAGGTTTGGGGCATTTTGGGGACTTTTTGGGATTTTTTGGGGATTTTTTGGGATTTTTTAGGAATTTTTTTGGATTTTTTGGGGATTTTTTTTAGAATTTTTTTGGGATTTTTTGGGGGATTTTTAAGAGATTTATTTGAGATATTTTAGGGATTTTTAAGGGATTTATTTGAATTTTTTTAGGGATTTTTGGGGTGGTTTTTAAGGTTTTTTAAGGGATTTATTTGAGATATTTTAGGGATTTTTAGGAGTTTTATTTGAGATATTTTAGGGGTTTTTAAGGGATTTATTTGAGGTATTTTAGGGATTTTTAAGGGTTTTATTTGAGGTATTTTAGGGATTTTTGGGGGATTTTTTTGAGGTTTTTTAGTGAATTTTTGGGTGAATTTTTAAGATTTTTTCAGGGTTTTTTAGGGATTTTTGGGGATTTTTGGGGTGGTTTTTAAGGAGTTTTAAGGGATTTATTTGGGGTTTTTTAGGGATTTTTAAGCGATTTATTTGAATTTTTTTAGGGATTTTTGGGGTGATTTTTAGGGATTTTTAAGGGTTTTATTTGAGATATTTTAGAGAATTTTTGGGTAATTTTTAGGGATTTTTAAGAGTTTTATTTGAGATATTTTAGGGATTTTTAAGGCTTTTATTTGAATTTTTTTAGGGATTTTTTGTGTGGTTTTTAGGGATTTTTAAGGGTTTTATTTGGGGTTTTTTAGGGATTTATTTGAATTTTTTTAGGGATTTTTGGGGTGGTTTTTAGGAGGGATTTATTTGAATTTTTTTAGGGATTTTTGGGGTGGTTTTTAGGGATTTTTAAGGGTTTTATTTGAGATATTTTAGGGATTTTTTTGGGTGAATTTTTAAGATTTTTTCAGGGTTTTTTTAGGGATTTTTGGGGTGGTTTTTAGGGATTTTTAAGGGATTTATTTGTGATATTTTAGGGATTTTTAAGGGATTTTTTTGAGTTATTTTAGGGATTTTTAGGGGATTTATTTGAATTTTTTTAGGGATTTTTGGGGGGGTTTTTAGGGATTTTTAAGGGTTTTATTTGAGGTATTTTAGGGATTTTTGGGGATTTTTGGGGTGGTTTTTAGGGATTTTTAAGGGATTTTTTTGAGTTATTTTAGGGATTTTTAAGGGATTTATTTGGGGTTTTTTAGGGATTTTTAAGGGATTTATTTGGGGTTTTTTAGGGATTTTTAAGGGATTTATTTGAGATATTTTAGGGATTTTTAAGGGATTTATTTGAATTTTTTTAGGGATTTTTGGGGTGGTTTTTAAGGGATTTTTAAGGGATTTATTTGAGATATTTTAGGGATTTTTGGGGTAATTTTTTCACATTTCCTTCAGAATTTTTTGTACGATTTTAATCCAATTTTTTTTCTTTTTTTCCCTATTCCCCCACCCCGTTCCCAACTGAATTCCTTAATTTTAATTTTTTTCCCGTTTTTTTTTTTTAAATTTTCAATTAAATTAATTAATTTAATTTTAATTAATTTCATTTTAATTCAATGAATCCCGGTTTTAATTTTTTTTTTTTCCCCATTCGAATTTTTTTTTTTTTCCTTAAATAAATTTGAATTTATTTTATTTTTTTTTTCATGGAATGATTTTTGGAGCAGAGGACAAACCCACAAAGTTTGTGTCCTGATCTGTAACTCCCCTCCTTACCTCCTCCCCGCCGTGGAGAGCACGACCTACTCCGGGTACAGCACCGAGAGCCTGGTGCAGAGGATCGCCGAGGTGAGAAGGGAAAAATGAAATTAAAATTGGGTTAAAAGTTAAAAATTAAAATTTTAAAGGTTGGAGATTTTTGGGGGATTTTTTGGGGTTTTTTGGGATTTTTTTGGGATTTTTTTGGGATTTTTTGGGGATTTTTTTGGGATTTTTTTGGGGATTTTTTGGGGATTTTTTGGGATTTTTTTGTGATTTTTTTAGGGTTTTTTTGGGGATTTTTTGGGGGATTTTTTTGATTTTTTTGTGATTTTTTTTTGGATTTTTGGGGATTTTTTTGGGGTTTTTTTGAGATTTTTTTGAAATTTTTTGGGGATTTTTTTGAGATTTTTGGGGGTTTTTTTGGGGATTTTTTAGGGTTTTTTTGGGGATTTTTGGGGGATTTTTTGGGATTTTTTTGGGATTTTTTTAGGGTTTTTTTGGGGATTTTTTGGGGGTTTTTTTGGGGATTTTTGGGGATTTTTTGAGATTTTTTTGGGGATTTTTTTGAGGATTTTGAGATTTTTTGGGGATTTTTTGGGGATTTTTTTGAGATATTTTGGGGATTTTTTTTATTTTTTAGGGAATTTTTGGGGGGATTTTTTGGAGATATTTTGGGGTTTTTTGGGGATTTTTTTGAGATTTTTTGGGGATTTTTTTGAGATTTTTCTGGGGTTTTTTGGGGATTTTTGGGGGATTTTTTTGAGATATTTTGGGTGTTTTTTTGAGATATTTTGGGGATTTTTTGGGATATTTTGGGGGTTTTTTTTGAGATATTTTGGGGTTTTTTGGGAATTTTTTTGAGATTTTTTGGGATTTTTTTGAGATATTTTGGGGATTTTTTTGAGATATTTTGGGGATTTTTTTGAGATTTTTCTGGGGTTTTTTGGGGATTTTTTGGGGATTTTTTTGGAGATATTTTGGAGATATTTTGGGGATTTTTGTGGGATTTTTTTGGAGATATTTTGGGGATATTTTGAGATATTTTGGGGATTTTTTCAGATATTTTGGGGATTTTTTGGGGTTTTTTGGGGATTTTTTGGAGATATTTTGGGGATTTTTGGGGGATTTATTGGAGATATTTTGTGGATTTTTTTTATTTTTTAGGGAATTTTTGGGGGGATTTTTTTGAGATATTTTGGAGATTTTTTTGAGATATTTTGGGGATTTTTTGGGATATTTTGGGGATTATTTTGAGATATTCTGGGGATTTTTTTGGGGATATTTTGGTGATTTTTTTGGAGATATTTTGGGGATTTTTTGGAGACATTTTGGGGATTTTTTTGAGATATTTTGGGGGATTTTTGGGGATTTTTTGAGATATTTTAGCATTTTTTTGAGATTTTTTGGGGATATTTTTGGGGGTTTTTTTGGGATTTTTTTGGATTTTTTTGAGATATTTTGGGGATTTTTTTGAGATATTTTGGGGATTTTTTGGGGATTTTTTTGAGGTATTTTTGGGTGTTTTTTTGAGATATTTTGGGGATTTTTTGGGGATTTTTTTGAGATATTTTGGGTGTTTTTTTGAGATATTTTGTGATTTTTTTGGGATATTTTGGGGGTTTTTTTGGAGATATTTTGGGGATTATATTTTTTCCGATTTTCCCTAATGCTGTGTTTTTTGCCCCATTTTTCCCCAGCGTGGGATCCACTTCTCGGTGGTCTCCCCGCGGAAGCTTCCGGCGCTGCGGGCGCTGTTTGAGAAGGGGGCTCCCCCCGGCAGCCTGGAGCCCCCCCAGGGCAAAGAGTGCGGCCAGGACCCCCGGCACATGGTGCTGGTCAGGGGGGTGGCACTGCCAGGTGGGGACACTGGGGACATCGGGGACATTGGGGACACTGGGGACACTGGGGACATTGGGGACATTGGGGACATTGGGGCGCAGAACGCGTCCGGCAACACCGCGCTGCACATCTGCGCCCTCTACAACAAGGTGGGGACATCGGGGACATCGGGGACATTGGGGACATTGGGGACATTGGGGGGACATTGGGGGGACATTGGGGACATTGGAGACATTGGGGACACTGGGGACATTGGGGACATTGGGGACATTGGGGACATTGGGGGACACTGGGGGACATTGGGGACATTGGAGATATTGGAGACATTGTGACGTTTGGGACATTGGCGATGTGGGAAACAAAGGGGCATGGGGATGTTGGTCAGCGGTGGTCACTGGTGGTCACCGGTGGTAACTGATGGTCACTGATGGTCACTGATGGTCACTGATGGTCACTGATGGTCACTGATGGTCACTGATGGTCATTGATGGTCACCAGTGGTCACCGGTGGTCACTGGAGGTCACTGATGGTCATTGATGGTCACTGGTGGTCACTGGTGGTCACTGGTGGTCACTGGTCACTGATGGTCATTGATGGTC